ATTTTTTTTTTTTTTTTTTTTTGGAGACGAGGTCTCACTGTTTGCCTAGGCTGGTCTCAAATTCCCGGGTTCAGGCAATCCTCCTGCCTCGGCCTCCCCAAAGTGCTGGGATTACAGGCACGAACTACTACACCTGGCCTCATATATGGTCATATTTACACACTCAGAAAATGTTTACAATAGTGAAATCAGTGCTGGCCATAACAGGAGTGTCCCGGCCCTCTCCTCATGCCCTGCATGCAGATGGAGCCAACCCAACAGGGGCTCAGGAAAGGGGGCAAATTAGATCTTACAACACAAAGAGGAAGGAAACAGATTCTAGGACACAATAGAGTCCCACTCTTGTAAAATATACAAATATGTGTGAGGATCCCTGGGTAGTCAGGTGTGCCAAGTCACTTCCAGAGGGTTCCTCTGCAGGGAAAGCAAAAGGGAGATGAGAACTTCCAAGCCTGTCACCTGGCCCACATTAGGTCCTGGGGTTTTCATTCAATGTCCTCAGAGATGAGCATTCCTGTCTAGAGGGACCTAATGGGATGCTGGGATATCGCTCAAGTCTTTATTGATCACTGGGTTGGTTGTCTCTCAGAGACATTGGATCAATTTCAGTCAGTGTTTCCAGTAAGGGGAAAGAGGAATCAGGAGCCGATGGCTTCCCTGCCCATTTACCCTTCTCTCTTCTTCCTCAGTTCATGTTCTCTTTTCAAGAACAGCCACCACCAGGACTGGTGATCTGAGTTAAAGAAGAAAGCTCCAGCCAAGCATGGTGGCTCATGCCTGTAATCACAGTACTTTGGGAGGCAGAGGCAAGAAGATTGTCTGAGCCCATGGGTTCAAGATCATTCCAGGCAACATGGCGAGACCTCGTCTCTACAATAAATAAAAAAATTAGCTGGGCGTGGTGGTGCACGCCTGTAGTTCCAGTTACTTGGAAGACTGAGGCGGAAGGACCACCTGAGTCCAGCAGGTCGAGGCTGCAGTCTCTGAGCATGCCACTGCACTCCAGTCTGGGTGACAGAGTGAGACTTCAACTCAAAAAGTTCCAGGCATGGAACTCTATGGGAAACCATTCCTCCAAGGACAGCAGAATCCAGGATTCCACCCCTCTCTACTAGGCTTGGCATTTAAGTCATCAAAACTGAGCAGGACTTGGCCATCTTTTAGCAAACACCATATCGGAAGTTAGTTTTAGTGGGAGGGGACCATCTCTTGGTGGAATGACAAAAAGATAAAAGGGAAAGAAAATAAAAGGAGAAACACAGATGAGAAAAAGGCCATTGCTACTCCCCCACTTTATACCCAGTTTCAACAACCTTTGAACATTTCTTTACCCAGGTGGCAGCGTGGATAAGGACAGGTTCTACCGCTGCTATCAGTGAGGCTTCGTCCATGCATCTGCAACTCACAGAGGAAGGGGGAGGTTACAGGACACCCGACATGTCTCAATCTAGCTCTGGTTCAAGGGGGAGAAAAAGGATCCACACTGAATTTGAGTGCAAAAAATAAATATAAAATTTATTAAAACACCCACAATATTTTAAAGATACCAGGAGTAATACAGTTCACAAACCCAGTTGTTTGTGTAAATTATAATAAAATACAAATCAAAAAAGGATACATACTTGCAATTTCTAGGCACCCTAAATTAAATTTACTGAAACACTGGGGGAGAAGGGAGGTTAAGGAGGGGTAGCTCAGGAGGCAAACCAATAAAGTGGAAGGAGAAATATTAACAAAAAGGTAAAAATTATACAAAATAAAATTATCAGCATAAATTTACTGTACTAAGAATATCTACAGTTTAATAATACACATCCTATTGCCTTGAGACATTGCAAAATTCTACCATTCATCCATCAACCCCAGATAAACTTCATTTCAAGTAGCCACAGTTTACAAAGTCAAGACGGAATATTCAAGTATGGTTGTTAAGTTCACCTCCATTGGAAGCCAAGTAACCAAACAGGAATTCAAAGAGATAGAAATAAAACGCATCGAAAAGCTACAGGGATTCTAGACTTAGTCTAATGTATCAATATGCCACTATTCGACTTGCCCTTGTCTCTAATTGGAATACATAAAAAAGAAATGACATCACTCCTGTTTTTCTCCCCCCTTTTCCCCCTGAAAATAAAAAGGCATTAGAAACCAATAAAATTTGGACTGTTCAAAGAAGCCAATGAGTAATTTAAGTCCCCATGAGAAGAGTGATGAGTTACTCCTGAATGATGGGTTGTCAAAATGAGAAGAGGGAGCAAACGATACCACTACACAAAGCATCCCTGATATCAGAAGAGAAGCAAATGAGGAAGTAGGCCAAATCGCTCGCTGATTCTGTGGCAAAAAGCAACTTTCGACCTTGCATCTCTGTGCTGCGGTCTCTGCTCAGGGGAGAAGCCTATTGCTCTGCTCTTGCCGACAGCTCAGCGGGAGAAGGGTTGGGAGCACCAGAGAGGCGCCCTGCACTGGTGGGAAAGACTCTACGCACGCATGGGCGTGGGACTGTGTGACCTACGCTAGGGGTATGCACCTTCAAAATGTTGTTTTGGTCCAAGGTATGTTGAAGTTGGCCATGTTCTACAGCAGACGCAGCTGGCTGATAAAACCGGGTTTTGAGTCATTTCAAATGACAGCGATGACGACTGAGAAAGCTCAGTGAGATGGGCATAGGAAATTCACATCTTATTCAAAAGCAAAACTTAAAAAGGAAACGAAATAAAGTCAACCACACTCCTTCCTTTTAGGCGTCCTGCCATGCTAACTGCTGAAGAAGGAAAAACAAAATGACCCCAGATTTTTCAAGGTCAAGCACATCATCGAAAAGACAACCTGCAGGTATATCAGACCCTAATGGAATCTACTTTACTGAAGTTGTCACAATGTCCTGTTTTTGAGGTATTTAACAAAAAGTTATTGTGACAGTGGATGACACATAATGGAGCTTCCTGTTGAGTTTTTAAAACATCAACTTCTGTGGACCCAAGAAGAAATTTAGATTAGCACCAACTAAAAAGCAGCCTCAGTGGCATCGAGTGAGCTAAGAAAGATCCTTCCTTTAGTCAGAACACGCGGGGTGACCAAAAAGAGGCAGAAGCAACATTGGGTCAAAGGCTGTGAGGCGCAAGGAAGTGAAGCCCCTGCCCACCTTGGTCCCAGCCAGTGCCCGGTGAGGAAGAAGCTCCCTCGGGACTCCCAGAGATGTCCGCTTAGCACCCCAGGCAGCAGGAGGAAAATCAGTGTCCCTGGCTAGGAGAATGCCTGTCATGCTGGAAGAGGCAAGAGTGCCCAACTCTCCTTCCTCAAGAAAACAAAACAAAACAACGCAGAAACAAACCCCCAAACCCTCTCTCTCATCGAGCCTGAGACGACAGGTGTGAAACTAAAGCACCTGCCAAGCCAGGCAGTCCCACTCCCATCTACCGTAAGGGAGCTAGCTGCCTTCTTGACTTGCTGTTTGGCCAAGGGAAGAAAAACAAAACAAGACAAACACTGCTCAGAGCAGATTACAGCACGGTAAACAGGTCTAAGACAGCACCAGAGGAGGGGAGGGAAAAGCCAAGAGAGACTGGAGCCCACCTTGTTTTTGGTTGGTTGTGGTTTCAGAACGTTGATAGCACCTCAGCAAGACAGGATCTGGGACAGTCACATTAAAACACCGTAGCACCATTTTATTTAGACTATTTCAATTCATAGAAATGCTTCCTAGTCCATAAAACACACTTCAGTAACAAAAGGAAAGAGATACTGGTTGAGGCACATCGGGGATATCGTATAATTTTCCACCAGCTTTGCCTTGGTTTGAGATCTCGCATTGATTACCCTTCGAGAAACAAGTCTGGTCGGATTTCTCTCAGTGAAATCAGGTATCGTCTACACATTGCCAACCATCCTCACACATTTACTGCTGCTTGATACAAAGCAGTTAAGCTCTGCTACTCCTTCCCTTGCTTTAGCACTTTAAAAATCCCTTGCTCTGCAAACTATTGTTTCCAAAAGAGGCTGGTGGAAGGACCAAGGGGGGAGGGTATCATCTCTTTCCACGCACACCACTGTCATCTTGGTGAGAAGGCAAAGCAGTACCCATCATGAAGCTGGGGTGTGGGAAACTCAGGCCCTGAAAAAACCAGACCCAACAACAAAAACGAAAAAGCCCCCCAGATCCATGCAACACCTTTAGTCAAGATCTCTGACAGTTAATGGTTTCTTGAGCTAGCACCAGTTATTTTGTGAGAATCTGCTGCGAAGTGATTTTTAGTTTTGAAAACCTCTTAGCACAGAACTCTGCAAGTACTTCCCTTGCACACAACAGGCAGGGAAAATCAAACAAAGCAAAACAGGAAACAAATATTTGCACTGCATGTGGATGGTGTCCGTGGACAGGGTACACTGGGGAGATGACTATAAGACTCCATCGTTTTCTGTTGCTTAGAATTACTCTTAAAACTCTGTCATGCTGTTAGGTTCTTCAGTTGCAATGGCTTTATTTTTCTTCTCATGATAAAAATGTCTGTTAATCATCTTTAGGATTTAAAAAATGATAGTGCCAGTAAAAAATAAAAATTTGATTTTTCTCTTTAAGAAACCTTCAGCAGCAAGGGGGGATTAAAGAGCTGTGCATAGTTACTTTTTAAATATAAGTCTAAAGCATGCTAATTTCAATGACTGAGATTTGAGGTAGGTTATACATGTAGTGTGTACAAATCAGCAGGGGCTTGAGCACGGCAACAGCACCACCTAACTCTCAAAACGCCATTCTGAGGGGAGTGGGAACATCCAATGGAGACTGCCTCTTGACTCGCCTCTCAGCAGCCGGCTTCCTGATCTAGAAACTTACAAACCAAGGCTGTTTGGGCTGGGGGGACAGATGTCGCATGCTTTTAGCTTGTATTGGTTTCTCCTTTCATCTAATGGCTTTGCTAGCAGAGGACGATGAGGGGAGGAGTATATTGAACATACATCAGGAAGATTCACACATGCCAAGTATCAGAATCACCTGGGTTACACTAGGGACCTTCCAAACCAACAGCCAACCTGGGGCTTCACGGGTCATACAGACGGTCACATTCTCCAAATGTTTTGCAAAATAGTGTATTTCTTGCTTAAGATCATTTAAAATGAAGTTTTCAAGGCACCCCCGCAACTACCTAAGCACGGAGTCAAATGAGACCTGCATAAAAGTACTGATGCGATAAGCAAAATAGCATTTAAAGGACCCAATTTTTTTTCCCTCAAAACTAGAAAATTAGCATGCTCATGAAAGACTCTGCTTCCTTTAGCTTGTCAAACTGAAGGTCAGAGATTTTCCTATAAATCTGAGTTCTGAATAATTCTAAATCCTGATAAGCTCTTGGGTATTTATTTCAAAAGCAATAATATTTCATTTTTGTCCTGTAAAATAAATGCAACTTTACAGAATATGGTAAAAGTGGAGGATAGACAAAGCACGTTAAATATTCAGCTACTATTTACAATTTCTCCCACAATTACATGTTAAAACATACTTTTTTTTTTTCAAGTTGCTGCTTAAATCTAGGCAAAAGTGCTTAAAAAAATCTTTCACTATTTACAGTTAAAACCAGACCACATAAATGCTCAAGGACATCTTACAGCGACCATCCGCCAGTGCTTCCAAACAGCTACAGTCAACACCCAGCGGGTCAGCTCTCAGCTCTTACACAAGGCACCTGGAAGTTCAGGAACTTGCCTTTAGCACTGTCATCTGATTGTTAAACTCAGTTGATGAAGACCCACAGCTGAACACAACTGCTCAACAGACAATTCTGATGTTAAACTCAGGACTTGGTGGTCATTCACTGTGTGGCCATATTTCCCTCTGTGTGTCCTGATAAAGCCCCCCATTCACCACGCACACCCATGTGGGTAGCTTGATATTATTTCTGCTAATACCACAGGAAAAACCAACACTCCAAGAAGTCTGACTTGCTGTAGATGAGTGTTGCTTCCACCTGTCAGGCCCAGCCTCTCTCACCAATGTCACAAAAATTAAGCACCACATTCTCACTTCAAAGAACCAAATGAATGCACCAGAATTTTAGAACAGGTATGTTAAAGTGGGCGGAGAGGGAAGGAAGTAATAAAGAAAATGATCAAGTGGAGAAATGGCACCAATTAGGGAGGAAAATCACAGCAACCTGCTGAAAACGTTTGACTCTTGCACTTTAAAATTAAGTGTAGCCCCCCCCCCCCCCATAGCTTGGAGGGGTGGGCTCAGGTGTGAGGCATGCACCATTGTCCAATGTGGAAATCCAGGATAAGGGTAGATGTGTGAACTGCTGTTACACTGGTTTGCTGAGCTCCCGCAGGATGCGACCTGCCCAAGAGTCAAGAAAGTCCCAGCACCACACTACAGCACCAGACTCTGCACAGCACCATGCCCAGAGCACCGCTGGCTTTTCACAGCTTGGTTCAACTTCCTGTTTTTGAAGATACAGTAGCCCTTTTTCAGTATCAGCATAGACTTTGGGGCATCTTTAACAACTGCCACTAAGACACATTCCTTCAGCCCAGTATTCATCAGCTTGGCAACGTGGTGGACGCGGCCCTTAAGAGCCTCGCAACTCCCGCTCCATCGTGAGGTGCTGCCTAGGGAACCATGACATCATGTGACTTAACGGACAGAGAGGATTCAGTGTGGAGACTAGCAAAGCTTGAAGCCATCTACTTCCAACCTGGTTTCTGGGGAAATCTATGCCAGCGTCTCAGGGCCTGGCCTGGGGTGCATCTGCCCCTCGACTCCAAGCCGGTGACTGGAAAAGGGACCCCAGATGCTTTTTTCTGCAATTCTCCCATCCTACCAAGAGGACAGAGGCTGTCCTGAGGGCTCCCTTCCTCAAAGGGAAGGGGTAGCTGTCAGGAGGGAGGGACTGGGTGGCTACAATCCGTACTTGGCTCGTGAGGGGCAGATGGCTGAGAGGGCCTTGCCAGCGCCTGAGAGGCTGGGCTCGCCAGGCAGGGACGAGCACTGCTGGCCTTTCCTGCCAATCCTTTACCATTACTATTGTCGCTTTAAAAAAATCCAATAAATACACATTTTAAATGGAATTTAAAACTACTCCTTTGTGAAAGGACACTATAAACTTTCTTTCCATTATTGTGATATACAAGGATAGAGTTTTTAAAAACAAAGAGAAAATAAAAGCCCCCCAAACAAGGGGGAAAAAAACAACTTGGAGATATAAATATTAAGATCACGGAAAAATCACCCGACAGCCGTAGTTTCTTCTTCAAAGTGCTGGGGAAGTAGGGGGAAGGGAGGGGCGGGTCAGTTCTGAGGTTTGGACCATAAATACATATATATGATATGCATATCCATATATGTATATATAGATAAAAACACTTTTGCACCCCCAACCCGCCCCCAGGAGTGAGGGCAAAAGCACCACAGAGGCAGCTCGGGCTGGGCCCGACGCTGAGGTACGCTGGCTCCCTGGCACCTAGATCCAGCGGCTGTAGGGGCCAGTGACCTTCGTGTAGGCGTAGGAGGACACGGTGACCGCGGAGTCCGTGGGCACGGCCAGCGCCTGCCGGGTGGGGACAACCCCCTTCTTCTCCTTCTGCTGGGGCTCGGCGACCATGGCGCCTCCCCACTTGCGCTTCTTCCCGTAGAGCTTGGCCTCCTGCTGTCCCAGGCCCAGCCGGGCGGCCTCCTCCTGCCGTGCCCGCGCCCTCTCTGCCAGCTGCTTCATCTTGGCTTCCCAGAGGGCCAGCCCGTGGTTGGGCTGGTTGAGGTTCTTGTGCTGGTAGAAGACCAGCGAGATGCGGGTGGGGTGGCAGCGGTTGGGCTTCTTGAGTGGTGTGGTGGCATGCAGCTCCCGCCGGGCACACTCGATGAGGATGGAGCCGTGAGCAGGGGCCACGGCCACGCCGCCGATGTTTTCGTCTAGGAAGTTGTGTTCGCTATCCGACCACAGCTCCTCCTCCTCCTCCTCGGCACCACCACTGCCCCCGCTGCTCTTCTCCTCCCTCACCACCCCCTTGCTGGAGGCCTCCTCGGCGGACCCCTCCTCCAGGCCAAAGGGATCCCACAGCTTTTCCTCAGACTTCAGGGCCCCAAACAGCTTCTCGCTGGAACCCAGGGGCATGCCGAAGGACTGCCAGGCTTTGTCCAGCTGACTGGCCCCGGGGGTTGGGATCCTTCCCTCCTCCCCTTTCATGGGGTGCCACAGCTTGTCTTGGAACCCGGGGCCACCTTTCAGGGCCGAGTTGAAATCCCCCACCCCTAGTCCCCACGGTTTCTCAGACAGGCTGGACCCAGCCAGGGCTGAGGCACTGTTCCCAAACTTGCAGGGGCTCCACGGTTTGCCTCGCAGTTGTCCTCCAGGATGGGGAGTCGATGGTTGCCCCTCACCGGGGAACAGCCCCCACTGGCCATCTGGGAAGTGGGAAGGAGTCAGGCAGCCGGCCCCAAAGGAGCTGAGCTTGTCGGGGACAATGGCAGGGCTCTCCCCAGAAGGGAACACACCCCAGCTGCTGCCCATACTGTTAGTCCTCTTGGGGGACATCCTTGGGCCTCCTGCGTACTGTCCCCATAGGTGACTGGGGCCTCCATTCTGAGATGCCTCTGGCAAAGGTGTTTTGCCCATCTTACCCATGTCTCTGGGTACAGATTCAGCCTGGATCAAGGGGTCGACTGGCTCTTGCTTGATGGATCTGTTGTAGCAATTGGAGCTCTGAACAAAGGGAGAGGGGTCCCTGGACACCGGGTGGATCTGGGGGGCCTTGGGAAGCAGATACTCCTTGGGGCCTGGATAAGCAGGCTGCTGGTGGTGAGGAGTGGGGTGGTGGGCATCCGTGGGAACAGTCTGGCTGGGCAGCTCGGCAAACTCAGCACCACCGTAGGCCGGGCTTAGGCTGTTGTGCAGAGCATGGAGGTCTGGCTTCTTCTCAAAACTGCTATTGCTGCCACTGTGCCCCCAGGCACCAGGACCCAGGAACTGGGAGGGGAAGACCGGGTTGCTGGATGGAAAGCCATAGTAGCCAAACGACGGAAGAGCATACTTGGAGTGGAAGCCGTTGACAGAGGTCAGGCTGGGCTGTGCATAGTAGGAGTGGTAGGAATACACGCTATTCATGCTGTAGGGGTCAGAGGGCCGGCAGTTGCCCAGCACTGAGTAGCTCTCCACCACTGCGTTGCCGCTGTACTTGAAGGAGCTGAAGTGGTTCTGGGGCTCCACCTTGAGGGAGGGCTTCAGGCCTTGCTGGGACAACCCACCTTTCAGAGACAGGCCTGGGGGAAATAGAAAGCAACACAGTGAAGGAGCCCAAAACACCATGGCCTGGAGAGGCCCTCGGCAGCAGACTGGGGACAGACCCCCCCCCCTTTCCCCGAGACATTTCCTCTTTTGGGATAGACAGGACTGGTGAGGAGCTGAGGCATGCTCAAGCCAGGACCTGGGCTTGCCCCCAACCCTGGGTACTGGCACAGCACAGGCCCCAGCCCCACTGGAAGGAGGAGACCTGGTGGGAAGCAGCTCATGTGGAGTCCACAGCCCCTTCTCCTTGCCTTGCCCTGGCCAACTCCAGAAGTTCTCACTGAAGCACCACCACCCCCTCCATACCTCATCAGGATCACTGCAGGGATCAGGGTCAGAAGAATGAGCGCTCAGATGCCTGATGGCAATTGTCCCTTGCACATCACAAGCCTTACCATCCCCACTGCACACCCACATGCCCTGAAGCAATGCTGCTCGCCTCAGACTCTTGAGAGGAGCAAGCTCAGGGATGTGCCTCTCCTCTACCGAGCTCAGTTCCCTGTGGACAAGTCCTTTGTACTTGCTTTCCTAAGGGCCTCCTATCAAGTTTGGCGTCCTGGGGTTGCTGCAGATAACTTGCTGATTGATACAATTAAGCAGAGGTTCCAGTTACTAGTGTGATGAGGCAGGGGGGCTGGGGTGGAGGAGTTTGAGCCCCCATGAGGACAGCGCCAATGCCACACACCTGGGTCAGTCGGGACACCCGCCAGCTCCAGGGCCTCCTGCTTGATCTTCTCTGGAGTGCTCAGTTTCTCCTTCTGCATCTTCTTCTTCTCGGCTGCCGCCTTTCTAGCTTCCAGCTGCCGCTGGCGACAAGACTTGGCAGGCTCAGGCAGGCGTCGGACCTCGCGGGGGAAAGCGGTGAGCACCTGGATGGCCCCGCTGCCCACCTTGGCATTCTGGTTCTCCTCGCTGCCAAACTCATCCGTGCTGGCCATCTTGTACAGAGGGAGAACGTGCAGCTGCTCATCCTCGGGAATCTTGCCCACACAGCGATTGTCTTCCTTAGTGAGGGTGCAGACCTGCCCAAAGCAGGGAGAGAGGACATGGGGGCTGGGGGACTGAGTGCTAGAAGGGAAGGGTCTGAGCACTCCAACATGACCTTGTCTTTCCTCATGCAGAACCAAGACCACCCACCTGCCTGGCTTGAATGTTCTCTACCACTTTGGAGAGTTTCTGAAAAGCACCTTTATCTTGGATCCTAGAGTAACAGTATCACCAACACTCTCAGTCTGCTTTTCAGCTTTCAAAGCACATTATCTCATGTGATTCTAATAGGGCTGAGAGGGGATGAGATGACTGCAGGGGGCCAGGTCAGGACGTGGAGGCCTGCTCCGCCCTCGGATACAGAATTGTTGCCACTGCTTCATGGCACCCAGTGGAGCCTTGGCCCTTCCACCATTTTCCTCCTTGTCCCGAACACTCGTCCTCTTTTTGCTCTTAAAATATATACATATATTACTAACATCTCTTTGTGCTGTTTGTGAAAAATTTAGGCAAGCAAAAAGGAAGTAAAAACCATCTCCATAATCCCATCACCCAGAAATAATCACTGTAAATATTAGGGTCATATGTGCATAGACAGGTGCACGATTACTTTTTTGGTATTTCAATAGAATATTCTGTGTACAGTTATGTAATAACTTCATTTTTTTCTTAACATAGTATGTTTTCTTGTGCATTAGATATTCTCTCCCAATATGATTTAAGAGTAGCATATTACTCTACTGTATCAATGTGTTAGTTTATTTAATCTTATTATCAAACATCAATTTGTTACCAATTGTTCCCTACCATAAACAATTCTTTCTGAAATACCCTTTTAGCTAAATTTTCAAAGATACTTAATTCCTTAAAATAAATGTTGTGAAGCAGAACTGCCACTTATTGCCAAACTGCCCTCCAAAATGAATCAGTTTTGTTTTGTTGTTTTTTTTGAGTTGGAGTCTCATTCTATAGTCCAGCCAGAGTGCAGTGGCATGCTCACGGTCACCCCAGCGTTGACCTGCTGGACTCAGGCGATCTTTTCACCTCAGCCCTTCAAGTAGCTGGAACTACAGGCATGCGCCACCATGCCTGGCTAATGTTTTGATTTATTGTAGAGATGAGGTCTCGCCAAGTTGCCCAGGCTAGTCTTGAACCTGTGGGCTCAGGCAATTCTCTCACCTTGGCCTCCCAAAGCGCTGGGACTATAGGCATGAATCACTGCGCCCAGCCATGATGCCGTTTTCCACTCAAACAAGCAGAATGTGAGTTTCAACTTTCCTAAATTTTGCCTATTAATTTTCCCATTAATTTATTTCAATGTATTATTAAAATGTACCTCATTGGTGTACATTTTTCAACAAGGTTTGCTTTTTCTCATGTTTACTCTTCACTCTTGTATTGACTATACTTTCTTATTTTGTATATTTTTGATGCTCTGGCATTTGGGGGTCTTGATTCCCAAGAGACTGCCCCTCCCAGGGTAGGAGACTGCAAAGGCTCCCTAAAAGTAAATTTTTTATATATGAACCAACCAATCCTGAGCCCACACCCCCAGGCATCTTCTTTATCAAACTCACACACCAAGGCAATCTTCCCTGTGCCCTAAATCACCCCAGTGCCAGATACTGGAACCATCCCCACAGCTTAGAGCTTGCCCAAATTATTTAAACTATCTAATCTTAAAAGTATTCAGTGTACCTACCCTGCCTCGCCCATTCCTTCCTGGAAAAAACCAAACCAAAACAAAACAAAACAAATAAATAGGAAACCACTAATAAAGACTCGATCATACTGTCCTCTTTTCCTCTTCTGTCTCCTAACCAATCTCAGGGCTTCCCCATGTGGCCCCTATGGAGTATGCCATGCCTCCAGTCTCTAGGGATGGTAGATATAAACTTCTTCCTTCATGACAGACATCTTCAGGTCTGCAAGTCTTATCACACCTGATTAAAAACACATCGTTGGTATACTTCACAACTCTTTAGTTGAATTCCTTCTTTTGTGATTTTATGCCTTTTGCCCATTTTTTTTTTTTTTTTTGAGTTGGAGTCTCACTCTGTCGCCCAGACTGGAGTGCAGCGGCCACTCCCGGCCACCGCAGCTTTGGCCTGCTGGGCTCTGGCGATCCTTCCGCCTCAGCCTTCCAAGTAGCCGGAACTACAGGCACGCGCGACCACCCCTGGCTAATTTTTGATTTATTGTAGAGATGAGGTCTCACCAAGTTGCCCAGGCGGGTCTCAAACCCGCAGGCTCAGGCAATCCACTCACCTCAGCCTCCCAAGGTGTGGGATTACAGGTTGAGACACCGAGCCTGGCCTTTTGCCCATTTTTTATGCAACACTATTTTTTATCATTTATAAAAAGTCATCTTTGTATATTAAGATATCATTCCTTTGCCACTTGTTACAAACATTGTAGTGGTTGGAGCTCTGTGTGTTACTAGCCATCGTTAGCAATTTTTTCTTTTTTTGATGTAGAGACAGGGTCTCACTATGTTTCCCAGGGTTGACTTTAACACTTGGTCTCCCAAAGTGATGGGATTATAGGCATGAGCCACTGCATCTGGTCTATCATCATTACTTTTGAGACAGGGTCTCACTCTGTTGCCCAGGCTGGAGTGCAGTGGCATGATCATAGCTCACTGCAATCTCAACTACTGGGCTCAAGCCATCCTCCTGCCTCAGCCTTCTGAGTAGCTAAGACTACAGGTGCATGCCACCATGTCCAGCTAACTTTTTACTTTTTGTAGTGATAAGGTCTTGCTATGTTGTCCATGCTGGCCTTGAACTCCTGGGCTCAAAAGCAATCCTCCTACCTTAAGTTAGAGTCTCACTCTGTTGCTCAGGCTGAAGGGCAATGGCACGCTCATGGATACTGCAGCCTTGACCTGTTGGGCCCAGGTAATCCTTCCACTTCAGCCTCCCAAGTATCTGGGGCTACAGGCATGCTATCACGAGGTCTTGCCAAGTTGGTCTCAAACCCCTGGGCTCAGGCAATCCTCTTGCCTCAGCCTCCCAAAGTGCTGGGATTACAGGCATGAGACACCACACTCAGCCCAGCTGGTGCCAGAAACTTTATGCTTTCATGGCACCAACTTTATTAACTCTTTCACTTAGAGTTCCTCCTTTGGTGTCATGCTCTACCTATCTTGTTTCTTCCCAGAGCATGAGTGAGTCTTCAAACTCTTATGTTCTAATCAGCCTCCTGTACTTTCTGGATTGAATAGGCCATCAGTCCAACTTCCTACCATTCTCTCAGATCCATTGCTATATAACCAACAGACCAAAGGTAAAATGCAAAAAATGAAATATGGCAGAAACCACATTTCCATCCATAACATACCAAAGGCACCATACAAATTTCAAAAGATATGGCTATCCTGAATTAAATAATAATAATAATAAGCAGGTAGGGTACAGTGGCTCACAAGTTCCAGTGTTTTGAGAGACAGATGTGAGAGGATTGCCTGAGCACACAGGTCTGAGACCAGCCTGGGCAACATGGTGAGACCTTGTCTCTACAATAAATCAACAAATTAGCTGGATGTGGTAGTTCCAGCTACTTGGAAGCCTGAAACGGAAGGATTGCCTGAGCCCAGCAAGGTCAAGGTTGTAGTGGCTGTGAGCGGGCCACTGTACCCAGCCTGGGTGACAGAGTGAGACTCCGACTTATATAAAAAATCAAAAATGGAAAAAATAATAAGCAAAGGATAAAAACAGGATATTCACAAAGATGAAATTAAAACAGGCAGGAAAACTAGGAAAAGATGTGTAACCTCTCTAATAATAAAAGAAACAGTTAAAATGAGATCATGTTTGCCACTCAGGCGGGCAAAGACTAAAAAGATCAACAAAAGCCAGTGTTGCTAAGGAAGCAGGAGAATTAGCACTCTAAGCCTGTATATACAAATGTAAACGCAGTCTCAAGGAGGATACTGCACCACTGCATGCAAAGGTGGTAAGAACGGTCCCTCCCCATGTCTGAAAGCACTTACTGTCCATTGATAGAGGGATGGTTAAATAAATGATGGCAGAGCCATACACATCCATACAGTCTCAGAAAACAAAGTCTAAATCCACTGACACAGAAAGCTTGAGTTAAGAAAAGCAGGTCACAGCACCACATGTATATATAATGTGACCCTATTTGTGTAAAATTTCATATAGCCATACCTCACACACACATTTGGGTGTCTGAATGGATGGTCAGCAAACTGCTATATGTGGTTATCACTATGAGATAGACTTCAAGCAATCTTTTTTATGTCATTTACTTTTTAAAAAAATAACCATGAGTAGTTACTGTTTAATTAGAAAAAAATAATACTTTTCATTTTGGAAAAAATATTATTTTCACCTCAGACCCCAGAAGCTCTGGGATCCCAATCACCTCACTGTGCTTTTGCTCTCTCTTGTCTCCCCTCCTCCTCCTTCCCTGCATCTCCAACCTCAGAGGGCCTGCTCTTTTGGTATATTTCAGCTAGAAACCATCACAACAGAGTGTAGGCAGGAGCCCACCCCATCTTGCTCCTCAGTCTTGGACACGGGAATGGGAGACAAGGTGGAGAAATAGAATCCCAAGGTATGGCCATCAATCCCCAGGGGACAGGAGCTACAACTGGAATCTGGGAGCCCCTCTCCCGATGAATGTGCTCTCCTCTTTTCCATCAACACTCACTCCCTTGGTGATCGTCCCAGCCTTGCAGCTCTAACTATGAGCTCACCAGGCCCTCCCTCTCCCCTGCCTACTCCACATCTACACCTGCCTATCTAGTAGGCATCTCAAAACAGAGTACTTGATTTTCCACCCCCACACCTGGTCTTCTCTGGTTATTCTACATCACAATAAATGCTACCAACACTTGCCCCGTTGCTCAAGCAAAAAACCTTGGAGTGGTCCTCAAGTCTTCTCTCTCACATCCCACATCCAGTCCATCAGCAAATCCTCACAGCTGTCCCCCTCAACAACATCTGTCCCATTACTCCCCATTCCTGCCAAAGCCCTGCCCCCTTCAGCCTGAACAACTGCCAAAAATGGCCTCCTTCTGCATATTCTCACCCATCGGCCCCACCCCCACCCATGACATACTTCATCTTCTACCTGCGGCAGCAAGAAAGTGCTTTTAGCTTTATAATGCCATCTTACCCCTGTCCAGCTAAAAAGCCCTCCGGCAGCTTCCCGCCACACTCAGAGCAAAACCTACAGCCCTTCCCTGGCCCTTGAGACTCCCTGTCATCTGGTCCCTGCCTGCTGCTCTGATCTCATTCTCCCTCTTCCTCCAGCTTACTCCCTTCCCATCGATTCCTAAACATATCCAGCTACTCCCACTCCAGAGCCTTTGCCTGTACTGGTCCCTCTGCCCAAAGCACTCAACCCTCAGACATTTGCTCCCTTGTTCTCTCAGGCACTCATGTGTCCCTTCCTCAGAGAGGCCTCTCACTGAAAAGAGCATCTCCTGTCGTTTTATCCTTTACCTACTTCATCTCTTCCTCATGGCCTTCATTGCTACAGGACATCACATCACATACTTGGGCAGGGACTTTGTCTACTGGACTTCCCAGTGCCTAGAGCAGTGCCTGGGAATAGCTGGTACTCAACATACATTTGAACAATGAATGCATCAAGGGTTTGTTTGGATTTAAATACAAGTGCCCAGAGACACCTGGAGCCATGTGTTTAGATAAGTGGTGACTCAAGGTGCCCAAGGGGCTGCATTCTACAGCAGCCACCTAAGACACAGACACAGAGCCAGCCTTGTCTGTTCATTCTGAGAAGTGGGCAGGAGAAAGCCGTACGGCAGCATACCTCCCAGAGTTCTGGAAATTCTGTTTGCATATACCTCCCTATTCTGAGCCCACCCTTCTGCACAGACTTCCTTACCACGGTGCACCCATTGTAGAGGTTATGCTGGTCCTTGTGGGCGTGGGCACAGAAGTCCATGCAGGCGGTGACCCCCGCGAAGGGTCGCCCTTCCTTCAGCCCTAGGCGGCAGTCGATCGCTATTTCCTCATTGGTTACCTGTGTGGATGAACAAGGAGGGCTGCTCAGGTGACCTGAGGTAAGTGGCCCTGATTCTGTACCTGAGGAGGTCGGGTCTTGACTGCAGAAGGGAGGTTTTCTGGCTGAGAAGTCCAAGCTCCAAAAAAGTTACTTTTAGGACCCTGTAGGAATTACTTCCTTCTGGGTTATCTCAAGTCCCCCTTGTCTGGTCTGGGAGATGCAGGGGGAACAGGGGAGAGAAATTTGGGCCTCACCAGTAGAAATCAGAGCACAGGAAGAAGACAGTTACCAGAGGAAGGGGAATGAAGACCAGGGATAGAGGAGAGATGGTGTAGGATGCAGCTGGGTTGCTATAAAAAAGGGGTCTCATCAAGTAACTGCATCATCGCTTTACTTCTGGAAGCCTGGGCAGAGATGTGGATGACATGCGGGTGGAGAAAGGCCCAGGGTCCAGTACCTGGTTCTGATAGGCCTGAGGGGCCAGCCGCTTGTACAGGGGGGCAACTTCAGTAGCCAGGTCCTGGAAACTCTTCCGGAGCACTTCTTCCTGTGGAGAGTAGAACAATCACATACATCCAGAGCACGCATACCCGGCAAACTCTGCCCCCTGGAAACGGACCACCATTCTAGAACCATCGTCTGGTGTCGCTGAGAAGGTCGGGAGTGAGAGGTCACTGCATGTCTTTACAGCACGCCTTCTGGGAGGAGTATGATGCCATATTCGTTTTAGAACTGGGGACACTGAAGCTCCGAGAAAAGGCTACTGCCCGAAGGTTCAGTTATCTTGACCCCTAAGCTACTGCTCCTTTAGGATCCAGCCCAGGTCAGCCCAGAACACCTAAAAAAGGTTCTTACTTTAGAGTGCCTAACATCCTAAATCATAAGTGCAGCATAGTGGGTGTGAAAAAACCATGAGCAATGTATGAATCCTTCCTCCAACATTACAGATAGGAAAATAAAGGCAAACACGACCTGTGCTAGAAATTCCACAGCCAATCTGGCTCGAGCCTGTTGTAAGCCAGGTACACAGACAAGCCTCAAAGCTCCAGCCACTCAACCTGCACCACACAGTGTGTCGTTCACACACCAGGTGTAGCTACTGAAATACAGACTGATCTTAATTAGAATCAAATAAAACTACAAATTCAGTACCTCAGCTGCACTAACCACATTTCAAAAGTTCAACAGCTACATGTGCTCCTGTCCAAACAGCAGAGAATGTGTCCATCATCATCACAGAAACTTCCACTGGACAACGCTGCTCTAGGCAGAGCCATAGTTCCCTGGGTACATCTGGCAGAGAATTTCAGGCGTTCACAGCCACTCTCTAGCTCTCTGAGGGGAGCAAGTAGGAGTTGTCAGGGCTCCCAGGCACAAAGGGTTTATAAAGAAAAAAGCAGGAGGCAATAAGAGAGAAAAAGGCCCAAGTACTCAGAGTTAGAAATGGAAGATGGTGGGGCTCACGCCTATAATCTCAGCACTTTAGGAGGCCGGGTGGGAGGATTGCTTGAGCACAGGAGTTCGAGAACAGTCTAGGATACATGGGTAGCCTTGTCTCTCCAAAGAACAAAAAAATTAGTCAGTGTGGTAGTCCCAGCTAATTGGGCAGCTGAGGTGGAAGGACTGCCTGAACCCAGGAGGTCGAGGCTGAGGTGAGCTGTGATCATGCCATTGTACTCTAGCCTGGGCAACAGAGGGAGACCCTCACTCAAAAGAAAAAAAAAAGAGAAGGAAAAAAAAATAAATGGAAGCTGGAGACCAATGACTCAGTTGTCCATTCAGTGGGGTGGCCAGAGCAACCAACCTCTCCCAACCAAACCAGGCTGGGCTAGTGGGGCCAGGTCACCTCTCTGGCTGTTGTTCAGAGTCTGTTACCAGCCCAGTGGGCCTGAAGCCAGCACAACAAGGGATGAGACTTGTGATCTCTGGAGAAACATAGGCATGGGTTTAAATTCTGCCTTCACCATTAACTAGCCATGTGTCCTTGAGCAAGCCATTTGCCTCACCAGTGAAGTGAGGGGGCGGGACATGAAATGATTTGAGATACCTGTGAGGTGTTCAGCACACTAGTCAGCAAAATGCTAGAACAGGGAAAGTAAGTGTGAAAAACTAAACCAATGTCTTTTCACTCTTGGTAGTTCTGAGGTCCTGGGGACCTTGGAGCTCCTTTTTTCATTAAAGCAACTGCATTCGCTACTTCACGGGGCTAGGCAAGGGGTAGACCCTAACATAAATAAAAGCCTAATATCAAATTAGACTTTTTCAAACTCAAACAATACTCTAATAGCCAGGTTTTTGGGGAAAAAAAGAGTTCTAAATTGGGAAATGCTTCCTTTCACTTATGAAGAGCAAAGCTTGGAAGTCAGAGAATCAAAGTTGACACGAGCTTTGGTATAGAGAAGATATTCCCAAGGGATATCCCTGCCCCATGGGAAAGGGGGAAGCCCTTCCAGTTCTAGGAGCTTGGAGAGGTCTGTCAGGTTGAGACTGAGATCAAGGTGTTTGCCTGGATCCTGGCAAACAGAACCAAGTACCCACCCCTCAGGAACTCAGGCAAGAGGGAGGTGAAATGATGGAAAGCCCCGGCAGGCTCGTGCCTCCTTTGCATTTGAAACTCTGAGTGGAGACCATCTCTCAGGTGGGCCTTTGCAACATGGACAACAGAACAGGGAGGCAGTGGGGATGGCCTGAGTTGATGCTCCCAGCTCCTATGGCCTGAGTGAAGCCTTGGCCTGTGGTCATGGGGATGAGGAAGGCTCTGTGGGTGAAGTCCTGGTAAGGAGCCTACAGAGAGGAGACCCCATGCCTAGAGGCCACATTGTGAATTCCAGTCTAGGGACCAGGCCAGCTCCCCAGTCTGGAGACAGTAAAAGCCCACACAACTGCCTAGAAGTGTCTTCCTAGGAGCCAGGCAGGGTGACTTAGGGAAGCCCAGCAGAGACCCAGAGGGTGGTCCACACACTGCTGTACCTCCCATATCCAGAAGGATGTCCTGGGAAGAATGAAGGGAATAAATGACCCTTTGAGAAGGTCAAATTCTGATAAGGAATTTTAATATACACCTTAAATGCTCAGAATAGTTACCTTAAAGAGATTGTTTAAACCGGAATTATCTGAAGCATTCAACTTGTAAGTCTAATTTTTCACATTCTGTGCCCTCTACACACCCCAAATCCCTCCATCCACAGCAAGATAAGGTCAGTTTTTGTAAAAAGTAAAGCAAGTTCCACTTTCTCTGTGCTTCTGTGTAATGGTGTACCAGTCCTACCTCCTACTGGACTGCTAAGGATGCCAGTTGAAAAAGAGTGGGAGGAAGAGTCCTTGTCCAGCTCTGCTCACCTCTTTGGGATTGTCCCCAGCAAGGCGGAACTTGCGAGGTGTCTTGCTCCGAGCATATTTGCAGCCATTGAAGTACATGCTCCAGGAACAGCCAAAGGAGAAGGAGGCACCACAGGTGTTAGGGTCTTTGCCTTGGCAAGCGCAGGTCCGGCTGCAATATACATCACAGGTTAAGCATACAGTTGCATTATTTCTTGTTCTGGAATCTTCCTCCTCTTTCAAGGAGTGGTGCTGCTGAGGTTTGGCACCCACCAGCCTCCCAGCAACTGGGACTCATCCTTCCCCACCCCAACACCTTCCTCAAATTTCCTTGAATAGAAAGCCAGCTTTAAGCAGCCTGTTCTGCCCCTACCCCATCCCACAGGTGTAACCCAGAGTCTTTTGTTGGGAAAAGCAACAAAAGATTGTTTGAGATACAGGGGAAAAAATCTGGGAAAAATCCATACGTTTACATTCTTCATTGACTAATGTCTTAATCAGCTCCAACACAGACCACACAAACAGAGAACTAATATGAACATCAGGATTTGAACATGCCTGTTTCCTATAGCCCAGATGCCGAAAGGCCTTTAAGCAGCTAAACTGATATAAAAATTCAATGCTTAATAAAATCTGGAAACAACTCGAATGCCCATAACTGGAGAAAGGATAAACAAATTATGATACATCCACAGAAATGAGAAAAGGACAGGAAACGAGACTAGTGGTTGCCAAGGGCTAGGGAAAGGGTTGCCTAGAAAGGGGACGGGAAATCTTGAGGGATATTTTGATTGTCACAGCAGAGGCTACATGACAGTAAACATTTGTCAAAAACCTCCAAGCTTTATTTCTAAGAGAAAGAGTTTTATTAGATACGAGGGGGAACCCCCACAAAAACCAGAACTATTCTTTTTGGAGGCCCCTTGCAGTACAGGCTTTTCCCACCGGCAAGTGTTCCAGGAACCCGTCAGCATCGGTATACCAGCTAGTGTTGTTGTGAAAGGCTGCATTCAACTTCAGTGTATTTTTTTTTTTTGAGATTCTTTCAATGCATTTGCCCATTTCATGATGGTTGATTTACAAGCACACCTGTCCACACCATGATGAATGTTCAGTAATTTTTTACCAAAAATGGCAGGACCCCCCCCCATGCCCCACCCTTCCTATTCACCTGATCTTGCCCCGAGATACTTTTTCTGTTGTTTACCCAGGAGAAAAGTCCTCAAAGGGAAACATTTTGCCCATGTGCAAGGGATGAAATAAAAAATGGCAGAAGCACTAAAAGGTATCCAAACTGATGAGTTCAAACACTGTTTTGAGCAGTGGAAAAAGTGTCTTGACAGGTGTATTACGTCAAACAAAGGGTACTTTGAAGACGACTGAAGTTTAAACATGTAAGAATAAATACACAATTTTTTAATAAAGGGTTTTTTTTTTTGCCTCCCCCATACCTTAACTTTTTAAAATGGGGCAGCTTTTGTAAGTATCACTAATGTCCTGTGCTAAAGGGAACATTACTCCTTTACAGTTGTTAGTGCCAGTGAGATCTGGGGCTTAGCAGCGAAGCTGAGCCAAGTAAACAGACTCTCCTGAGCCAGGGTCAAGTTCTGTGGGTGAGCACTCTTTATCCACAGTCCTAACTCTTCAGGGACCACACTGTCCAGAAGAGGGCCAGACCCTTCCCTAGGGGCCCTGCAAGGAGACCCTCATCCCTCTGTCCCCAGCCTTGCCCCCTGCCACCTGCCACGTACTCATCGTTGAGGCCGCATCTCCGGCTGGTGGGGTTCCCGTACTTCCGGAGGGTATCGGTGAGCTCTTGGTAGAGGGTGTCTCCGAGGCTACGGGGGATGCCTTCCCAGGCCAGGATGAGGATGACGATCACGGCATTCTGGCAGTGGTGACCTGCCCTGTGCCGCACCAGGCAAAGCAGCTTCTCCTCCAGCGTGTGCCTGCGGATCACCTGCAGGGGCAAGGGCGGTGCTATGAGCCGCAGGACCCAGGCACCTGTGTTCCTCTGCATGGTGCCACACCTCCCTTCCTTGGCCACAGTGACCTGGGGTGCGGGTCTTTAGGGCAGTGTCCCTGGGGTGCCATGCCCTGAAGACAGCAACTACACGGGGCAAGAGACCATTATGATCGGGAATAGAAAGCATAAAAGTTATTTTTTAAAAGAGTGAAACAAAAAGTAATTACCACAAAGTCTCAGTTACCCGTGACTTACTTAGGCTTAAAAGTAAAAATACATAGATAAAACTGCAAGCCAAAATACTGAGGTTTTTACACATTGCCCTGAAACATTTACAGGGAAAATGCTAGACACCTGTGTATTTTTAGTTACGAAGCAAGGGGCTTGGCACTGTGGAAAACAGTTCTGAAGTTTCTCACAAAGCTAAACATAGTTTTACTGTATGATCCTCTAATTCCATGCCCAGGAATGTACCCAAGGAAATTGATAACAGGGACTCAGACAGATCCTATTGCATACCCATGTTCACTGCAGCATTATTCACAATAGCATTTTTCACAATAGCCAAAAGCTCCAATCCAAGCATCCATCAACTGATGGATGAATAAATAAAATATGCATACATACAACAGAGTATTCAGTCTTGAAAAGGAATAAAATTCTGACACGTGACAACATGGATAAACCCCAAAAACATGCTAAGTGAAATAAGGCAGACACAAAAGGCCAACTATTTTAAGATTCCATTTATTTGTGGCACCTAGAACAGTTACATACAGAGTAACAAAAAGCAGATGAGAACTTATCAGGGGCTGGGGCAGTGGGGAATGAGGAGCTGCTGTTAATGGGTACAGAGTTTCAGTAAAGGGCATTGAAAAAGTTCTGGAAATAGACTATGGTAGTCGTTGCACAACAATATGAATGTGCTTAATGCCACTGACCTGTACACTTAACAATATCAAAATGTTAGATCTTATGTTTACCTATTTTATTGCAATTTTTTTTTTTGAGTTGGAGTCTCCCTCTGTTGCCCAGACTGGAGTGCAGTGGCATGCTCTCTGGCCACCGCAGCCTCAACCTGCTGGGATCCGGCGATCCTTCCGCCTCAGCCTTCCAAGTAACTGAAACTACAGGTGCGTGCTACCACGCCTGGCTAATTTTTTGATTTACTGTAGAGATGAGGCCTCGCCAAGTTGCCCAGGCGGGTCTCGAACCCACAGGCTCAGGCAATCCACTCACCTCAACCTCCCAAAGTGCGGGATTACAGGCTGAGCCACCGAGCCTGGCTTATTTTATTGCAATTTAAAGAAATATAATATGCCAAAAATCACTGAGTTGTATATTTCAAATGAGTAAATTGTACAGTATGTGATTTATATCTCAAAGCCTTTAGGAAAAAAAAGGCAAGGGCTCTGGGCACTGACTGCTCTACTGCTCAGGATCTGGCCAGGTCCAGATCCTCATTCACTCCCCAAGCACAGTCTTGGCTTATAAAGATGTGTAGGGCAAAGGGATCTGGGAGCTGGGAAATAAAGTGGCTGGAAATCACCAAAGAATGCAGAGTAATTCTGTGACCAGATAAAATGTGGGGGCCTCTAGGGAGGGGAAGGATGAGGACAGATTGGGAAGGGCTGAGTATTAGGCCGAGGGGTGAGGACTCGGGTAGGGGCTCCATGAAGGACTATGAGCAGGAGATAGTTTCATGCTTTAGAATAGGGAGCAGAAAGTCGGGAGAAGGGCAAGCCAGGGAAACCAGCTAGGACACCACTGATGTCACGAGCAAAAAATGGTTAAAATGCTGAACTAAGGCAGTGTAAGGAAACAGGAAGAGAAATGGGTTCCTGAGACATTTAGGAGAAAAGTGATTTGAGGCCATTTGACTACAGGGGCTGAGGAAAAGGGAAGAATTGTAAATTATTTCCACATTCTGCGACTCAGGAAACCGTGTGGGCGTGGCTGACCGTGGAGTAATTGGGAACACACCAAGCCAAAGTCCTCGGGAGCAAATGAGTGAGCTCTAGGTGGCCCCAGAGAGTGGGTCTGGAGGCCAAGAGATGGCTGGGCTGCAGACAGACCCCGGTCATGTGTGGGTCAGTACAGGGAAAGGTGAAAAGGGATAGCCAGGCAGGCAATACAAATGAGGAAAGCAGGCCAGATGCAAGACCAGGGTGAGGTGTGGGCCACCACAAAGTGAAAAGTGTTTGCCCATCAAAAGGGGGAAGCCAGGCCTTCTCGCCATCAGCTGCTGCCTGGTGGAAATTCCAGGACGGTATGGTTAATTCTTCCAATTTTGCAAGAAAAATGGAAACCCAGATTTTAACGTGAAATTTTCCTGTTCAAAAATGTGAGCACTACATTCTTTTTTTTATTGTGGTAAAATACACATAAATTTGTCATTAACTATTTTTTGAGTTGGTTCTCACTCTGTCACCCAGGCTGGAGTGGTGCTGATCACAGCTCCCCACATCCTTGGCCTCCTAGACTCGGGTGATCCTTTCACCTCAGCCTCCTGAGTAACTGGGACCACATACAGCTAATTCTTTTTATTTTTATTTTTTGTAGAGACAAGGTCTCGCTATGTTGCCTAGGCTGGTCTTGAGCTCACTGACTCAAGTGATCCTCCCACCTTGGTCTCCCAAAATGTTAGGATTACAGACATGAGCCACCATGACCAACCCATTTTAACTACTCTTAAGTGTACAGTTTAGTGGCATTAGGTACATTCACACTGTTATGCCGTCATCATCACCATGTACTTCTAGAACTTTTTTATCTTGCAAAACTGAAACTCTATGTTCATTAACCAGTAACTCTCCATTCTCCTCTCATGTCAGCCCTTGGTAACCACCATTCTGCCTTCTGTCTATGATTTTAACTGTTTTAAGTATGCCATATAAGCGAAATCATACAGTATTTTTCCTTTTGTGACTTGCTTATATCACTTAGTATAATGTCCTACACATGCTATAGCATGTGTCAGAATTTCCTTCAAACCTTTATTTTTTTAGAGACAGGGTATCACTCCGTCGCCTAGGATGGAGTGTAGTGGTATGATCAGAGCTCAATGCAGCTTCAAACTCCTGGCTCAAGAAACCCCGCCTCAGCCTCCCAAGTAGCTAGGACTACAGATGTGTACCACCATGCTTGGCTAATTTTTATATTTTTTGTATAGGCAAAAAATGTTATGTATGTGGCCTAGGCTGGTCTTGGACTACCAGCCTCAAGTGATCCTCCTATCTTTGTCTCCTAAAGTGCTGAAATTGCAGGCGTGAGCCACTGTACCCAGTTCAAACTTTAAAAAGATGCTCTGAATGGTGATCAAGACACATCTCCAGCCATGAGTTCCTACTCTGAAGCACAGCAATAGTGAAGACTTCTCTCTAAAGTATCTATTACACCATTAAAAAAAATTGTACTTTGGGAATCAGTATCACGTGAACATGATGTTAAGTTAGATGCTGTGTTAGAACTCCCTGGGTGACAGCCTGGCTTCCAGCAGATTGAGCTAGGCATCAACATATATCTGTGGACACTGATAAGGCCCTCTCTATGACTGGGGTTTTCGAGGCACTATGGTCAACTTCTGTTCCCTGCCCAGGACAGCTCACCAACCAGTCGCAATCATGGGAGACTTGTTCAGAGCACAGAGCAAGATGCCCAACTGAGTTGTGACTGAGGCCATGCCATTTTGGTTTCCCAAATGGCAAATACTCAAATGTCATGACGCACAAGCAGACTGCTCCCCGTGACCACATCCTCACAGGCCCACGGGTATACTCAAAAAACTGCAAGAAAACAATAGAGAGGAGCTCCTTAGCCAGCAGGACGACATGAAGAAACCCAGCAGGACGACATGCACAAAAATGTGTATGTCAAAGGCCAGTGAAGGCATGAACACATCAACACCCGAGCACAGCAATGGAGACAGTTCATCTCAGAATCATCAATATCTCCCCCGGTTTCTGGAAAGGAATTTCCTGTACAACGCCTAGCAGAACCCAAGTCTGTCCTCCCATAACACCACAGTGCTTGGGTTCAACCCCTGTGGTTTCCTGAGTAGGACTGCTCCACCATGCCCTCAGTGGTCCTCCAAATACCTGCCTTCTGACCTCTGTGATGCTTACACTCTGGTCCAAGCAGCATCTCCAAGGTTCTTTGACCAGAGCCCATTTTGCAGTCCTTGGTGTCTGCTTCTGGCTCCCTGTTCTGGGGCTCCAGATTGCTACCTGGGCAACTCTCTCGTTCCCACACTCGGAATCTTCTGTATTTTTACAGGCCAGCTTAAAATTAGAGATGACCAGAGGTTTCTCTGGGTCAACCCACTGCTTCTTAAATCATTTTCTCAATACACACTTGCTGGGCACCCATGATGTGTCTTGACTTTGTCCCCCAAATCCTGGCCAGTAAAGTCTAAAATCTATCGAGCACACTACCTGTAGCCAAAGGTATTGGCTGGGAGGTAGGGGATAGGCTGCAAACACAGACATGAACTCAAGTTGGAAAACAAAACCCAGGCTCTAGACCAAGTGGGGAGGGGAAACCCACAGAAGGTGCTGTCTACTGACCCAAGGTCGCAGAGCACTGTTCTGGGCTCCTGACAACACACTGCCACCAAGAATAACCTGTCCTTCTAAGTGTTTGTGGTCACTTTCCCAGTGGGTACCCTCCCCCTGCCCAATTTCCAAAGGAAGTGGAACTTTATTATTTTTTTTATTATTTTATTTTTTTGAGTTAAGGTCCTACTCTTGCCACCCAGGCTAGAATGCAATGGCACAATCATGGCTCACTGTGGCCTCAACCTCCTGGGCTCAGGTGATCCTCCTGCCTTGGCCTCCCAAGGTGCTGGGATTACAGGAGTGAGCAACCGCGCCCAGTCAGAACTCTTTAAATGAGCCCTCCCACCAAAATACATAGGGTATTTGGCAGCTGTGTAACACAGCCGCCTAAACCCAGAAGTCCACAATCCTAAAGGAGAAGGCTAGAAAATAAAAACAAAAAAGAAGCCCTGAGCACTGCTGTTTTCTTGCCACTGTAATAGTTCTGTGAAGGTGACCTACCACCCATTTGCTCTTCCAATAAAAATGTCTTTCCCTTTTTCTTCATTTATCAGACATGGGAATTTCCCCACCTCTGCAAACATGGTCATTATGCATTCTATGCTCACCCACCCAGGCTCAACGATACCCATGAGCTGTTCCCTTCTTGGGTGTGACCTCCAGCTCACTGTGCTTCACAGACCCCAGAGGATCAACAAGCTGAGGACCACATTCCTCCTCCTCCATCACTCTGCTTTCCATCCCCAGCCCCAGGCACTGGCTAGCCAGTCTCCAGGCAAACGTTCTCTTCCTAGCACTCAGCAGAGCCACAGGAGTCCTGGCCGGGGTTGACCTGTTACCATTGTTTCCAGGTCTAGGAAAGCATATTCTCTTCTTTAATGCCAGCTGTTCTTTTTAAGTTGCCAAGTTTTTTGAAGCTGGAAAACTCCCTAACTCTATCTGTGCCCCAAGGATGTTAATTGCTATGCCCAAGACTTGATTAGAAGGAGAAAGTGGCAGCTGTCACTCTACAGTTGATGCCATTGCCAATGGGTTCTCTGGGGAGGTAACACCCCACCATGATCAGCCACATCAGCTTCCTACTGCAACGACCACCTCTCACGAAGGTGGGGTAAACCTGATTCTTCATACCTGTGAATGCACCAAGAAGTTCCAGATTGTTTTGTTGTGTATAGTTCTGCAATGCTGACTGAAAATTGCTAAAAATAAGTATGAGGTTGTTCAAGTTCAGACATCTTTTACTTTTCATTAAACACGAAGACGCAAAGGCATGGGTTGTATACCAGATAAAAATGAGCTTGTGCATCTCACCAGCCTCCCTCATGTAGTCAGCCATGTGTATGGCCACCCAGCCTTTCTGTCTTTGGCTGTACAACTCTCCTCACCAGGAATGCTCCTACCTCTCTCCTCAGCCTGATTAATACGGACGCGGTCCCACGCATGCCACCTTTTTGGGGAAGCCTCGTCTGGACAGTTCTCCTACCCTGGACTACAGCACCAAGTCTGCCTTTCAAAGGTACACCTCCATTATTCCCACCTCCACAACTTTACTTCAAGTGTCTCTAGAGCACAAACAGCTTGAACACCTGGATTGAACACCTCCCTTGCTGCCTGGCACTAGCACAGGGCTGAGCACACAGGTACCCAGTGAATGTCGCTGTCATCCCTGAACATCCATTATGCAGAGGCAGATGCTCTGCTATTTAAAGATCTCTCTGTGGACTGGGAGGACAAGGTCAGCAGGACTTTGGTGACTTGGGGTCTGAGTCAGATGTTCTCCCTGCTGAGACAACCAGGTTGCCTGGTAGGAAACCAGTTTAGAGGCAGGGTAGAGGGTAAGGCTGGTCCACAACCCTGCCTGGAGGCCTGGTCTCCTCCCTCAAGATGGGTCTCAGCATGTCAGTCTTCACATGTGCCTCTGGTTTCCTGGCAGGAGACAGGAGCACTGGCAGCTCCATGGCACGCGGATGGGGAAGCAGAGTCAAATAGTCCACAGCAGGGCCCAACATTGAGTAATGACAACACCTCCATCTTCCCCTTTTCCTACCCCTCAACCCTGAGCCATGGGGAGAGTCTGAGCCAGTGTGATGACTAACACAACTCTGAGGCCAGCCCAAGACCTAGGGACTTGCATTTACACAAGATGAGGACAAATAGCTGAGGCTGGGGGAAAATAACCATGACCAAGCATCAGATCCCAGCTTCAAGGTTCCACCGGACAGTAAACATGTCGCCTCCCACATGTCCACCCCACTCCTGGCCCTAGTCGATGGCCTACTCAGTGATGCAAGGCCAGAAGAGGAGAATGTGGTATGGCCTTGGCTGCGGGGGTTCGACACTCACCCACTTTGCAATGGGGCAGCCACGGGAGCTCTTCCCCTCCTTCCCGGTGTAGATGACCTTCTCGATCCGGATGGCTTTCCCCTTCTCTCCATACCTGGAGGCAGAGACAGGAGCCACCATTAGCACAGTAGAACCCAAGGAGAACAAGTAACAGTAAGAAGGTAGCCTCAGTGTGCTTCAGTTTGGGTTTCTATCTACTGTGAGGGAAATAGAGAAAAAAGAGAAAGGTTTAAATGTTTATTCTGGGGTTATATAGGCTCTGGAGACAAAGCAGCCCTTCCAGGCCTCCAGGCCCTGGCTCACCAGTCCCTTCTCTGCTCCTGTCCATCAGGCCCGGGGCAGTCGAGCAGGGGCAGTTGAGCAGAATGTCCCTGATTACTACCTCTGAGCCTCCAGAAGAGAGCTGAAACCAAAGGTTACACACAGGCATTTGGATCCGAGCCCCATTGCCTGAGTCATCCTGAGAGTTAGCTATTTATAAATATAATAAATAAAAGAAAATAAATGGGGGAAACCTTTACTGTTCTCTTTGCATAATCCCCAGGTGACATTTGACCACGATGAGGATGAATAGCTGAGGCAGGGGCAGGGAAAGGGGAAGTGGCCCTACCCAAGGACAAACACTGGCTCCAAGGTTTCCCAGGACGGTAAACATGTCGGGTTCCTGCACACACCCCCTGCCCCGGCCCACACACACGCACACACACTCAGGGATTCAGAGTCTCCGATCTCTAAGACCATTTAATGAATCACACTATGTTCAGAGGTGATGAAACTGTGGTCCCCAGAGTTGAACTGACTTGCCCAAGGCCACACAACCATATGGAACAACAGTGATTAATGTACAGCTTTGGATGACAGACTGGGTTTGAGTGCCAGCCATGCCACTTTCTTGCTATGTAACTATGGCCAGAGTACTAAACTTCTCTAAGCCTCAGTTTTCTCATATGTAAAATGGAGATTTAAGTGGTTCCTATCTCTTAGGCTTGGTAAAGATCAAATAATAATCCATAGGGAGGACATTATTTAAAGTGCTTCAAAGTTCCTGGCTTGAGGGAAAAACCCAATAAATATTAATTGTTTTTAATAATGTAAAAGCTATCTTACCAAGTTACCTTATTTTTAATAGTTTTTAGCCTAAGGTGCAATAGCACATCATCTGCAAATAGTGGTCAATTGCAACCTTCTCTGTTCTACTCTTTGCACTTCTTTTATTTTTTATTTTTTGAGTCCAAGTCTCACTCTGTTGCCCAACCTGGAGTACACTCACGGCTCACGGTCACCGCAGCCTTGACCCGCTAGGCTCAGGGGATCCTTCCACCTCAGCCTTCTAAGTAGCTGAAACTACAGGCATGTGTCACCACACCCAGTTAATTTTTGATTTATTATAGTGATAAGGTCTTGCCAAGTTGCCCAGGCTGGTCTCGAACTCCTGGCTCAGGCAATTCTCTTGCCTCTGTCTCCCAAAGTGCTGGGATGACAGGCATCAACCTGGGTATTCTTTACACTTCTATTCCAGTCTCTCCTCTCTCTATACTGGCTAAGTCCTTCTGAAGTGCTTGCAGGAATCTTTGTTTATTTCCTGACTTTACTTACGACATTTCCAACAATTCACCACTAAGCATGAATCTGGTTGACTCTGGGAGAGACAGATTTCCTTACTTTGAAGACTTAGAAGTCTTCTTCTATGATTTTAGTCAAAAATTGATTATTTTTATCAAATTTTTAACATCGAAGGAGACAAATGATTTTCTTCTTTGACCAGTTAACATGGTATGCTACTTTAACAGATATCTAAATCAAACTAGCCTTATGTTTTTCTAATGAATTCAATTTGATCATGGCATATTATACTGTTTAACAGAGCATTAACATGATCATAGGTGCTATGGTTTAAGATACACATATTCTTTATCTCATCCACTCCACTTTTGGAATCTGTACTTCGGAAATAACTGTACAGGTCCATAAGATGGCGACGGCATAGGTGGATTCGTGAGACTCTCTGAACATGAGTTCCCAAAAAGACTCTTACTTTTCTTCCCAAAGCGCCCTGCCCACTGCCAGCTGCACTGGTACGAGGCCCAGGGACCTTCGGTCCCACGCAGGGCCAGATATTGTGGCCCCTGGCTGCGAATGCTCCACTATATGTGACTCCCATCTGCTCAGGAGTCCCGGGTCCCAGCTCCCTCCCTGGTTACATCGTCACACCCAGCACCCAGCACCAAACTGCTGGTCACCCAGGGAGGCTCTGGGTGCCTGCCCCTCAGAGATACCGGTCCCATTTCTGGCTGAAGTGCCCTGTGAGGGACCCAGGGCCACCACCTACCCTTTGGAGCTTTGGAGTTCTGGAGCTCCGGGCCCACCCTGACTGAGGCACTCAGCGTGCGACTTCAAGCTTGTGTAAGGGAGTAGAACCCCAAGCTTATGTAAGGTGCTGATCGGATGCTTCCAGCTCTAGAGGAGGGAACGCCCGACCCTCTCCTCCACCCCAGCCTGCTGAAGACACCCCGGATCCAGCACCCAGCTGTGCAGCTGATCCCAGACGAGCATCCCAAAAAGTGAAAGTGGAACTACCACCTCCACCATTCTCCAGGCAGATTTGCATCACCCCACCCACCTACCAGAGCCTCCACCTCGGTTCCCACAGTGACGTCGTTAAATAGGAGACAAAGCCCCTCCCCTACGCTGAACAGACTGAGACAACTAAGAGTCACAGACCTCCCAGGAAGCAGGCTAACTGCCTGCAACAAAAACAGAGGGGGATGAGAGAGAAAAATCTACACAAATGAAGAAAAACCAAAAGAAGAATATGGGTCTCTCCCAGACTCCTGGGAGGGCAGACACTGAGAAAACTGACTTCGGAATGCAAACAATGAAGAGCCCCCACAATGACTGGTCTCAAACTACAAACACAGATATCAAGACATTAATGGAGAGATTAAAAAGAAATGAGGAGACTCACGAAGAAACTAGAAAGGAGCTGATATCTGAGATAACAGTAATAAAGAATACTGTGAATGAAATAAATAACAAACTGATATGCATGGAAAGCAGAATTACCCAAGCAGAAGAAAGAATCTGAGAGCTAGAGGATTAAAATATAGAACTAACCCAAACTCTCAAAAACACAGAAAACAAGCTCAAAAAACAGAAAAAATAAAAACCTTTAAGAGATGAGCGATTACTTCAAGAGACGAAACCTATGAGTAATTGGCCTTCCTGAGGCAAAAAGAGAGACAGAGACCACACTGGAACAAACCTTCCATGAGATTATTCAAGAAAACTTCCCTTATCTAATCAATGATGCAAAAATTCAAACACAAAAGATTCAGAGAATCCCTGCAAGACAAAAAATGAGGAGACCAACTCCTAGACACATAATAATTCGCCTAAATGAAGTACGCATAAAAGAAAAAATCCTAGAGGCAACAAGAGAAAAAGGCCAGATCACCTACCATGGAAGACCAATTAGAATAGCAGCAGATTTATCTACAGAAACCCTGCAGGCTAGGAGAGCTTGCAGCCCTATATTCAAAGTCCTACAAGATAAACAATTTCAACCAAGAATAACCTACCCAGCCAAGTTAAGCTTCATCAGCGAGGGAGAATTAAAAACTTTCCCAGTTATCCAATCCCTAAGAACTTACGCTGCCACCAAACCACCTCTACATGAAACACTTAAGAAAGTACTAAACACAGAAGAAGAGAGGAAAAAAAGAACAATGTTCTTCACAAGAGTACAGGAAAAAGAATAAAATACACAGGAACCAACCCCCAAAACAAAAGAAAGACAAATAAATCAAGTGGAAGAACAACTCTATAAAAACTCTATGATAGGGACAAACTCTCACATTTCAATAATTAACCTGAACGTGAATGGACTAAATGCACCACTGAAAAGACATAGAATGGCAAAATGGATAAAATATCACCAGGCAACAATATACTGCCTTCAAGAGACCTATCTCACTAGAAAGGACATACACAGACTCAAAGTAAGAGGATGGGAAATGAATTTTCAGGCAAATGGAACACAAAGAAAGGAGGAGTCGTGATCCTAATTTCAGACAAAATACCATTTAAGCTATCAAAAATTAAAAAAGATACA